GCAAAGTTGTATCAAGAAAGAATAAACTAGTTTTAATTAAGAAAGAACCTGTATCGCTGAAGTCTCTCGGAAAGGATTTGTACGGGAAATTAACAAACAAGCAGATACATAACACTTCTTTTAGGTTTCTGAAAATAGCTGACTAAACACCGCCATTTTTTTATCCGGCCTTAAAGTGAAGAGTTTAAATGTGATAGAACAGTAATAATATAAATTATTAATTCAAACAAGTTTTCGTTTTTTTATATTTTACGGGATGGGAGTATCACCTAGTCTTGGGCGGTCGCGTGACAATAGCAAATTTTAAAGCATTGACAGGATCGAATGACATTAGTCATGGAAGTTCGGGTGAGGCTAGGGCACAGGAAACACGCGATTTTGCGCGCCAGATGAAAGCAGTATACTTAACAGGTGTTTTGACTGTTGGCTCATTTGAAAGCGAAGTGTTCGTGTCTTGAGAACACGACTGCGTGGACTTTCTCACTATTTGCTACCATGTAAATTATCACAAACTATAAAGAGACTCGAGCAATCACAATAACCATCAAATTCCTGCTAGGCTAGTTATCAAATTACAGATCATTGAAAACAGATTACTCTAAACTGGTTAAAGTGAAACAAACTCATAGATATAATTAAACTGTAGCATACACTTTCAGTTCACCTTTTAACCTTATCACAATTAGTAAAGTCACTCTGAAATTTATCTATATATCACACTTTATGTAAACGATACCATTTGACTGAACCTACTTTTTTCGCTTCTTGCATGCTTTCGTCGTCCCTTCGAGCCTGTCTTCGAACCTGAACACTTCTTACCTGCTCACTTCTTTTTTCCCAGACTGTTTTCGTACATCAACCATATTTTGCTTGTTTTCAGTCTTCTGCTGAGCCATTTCAGTTTCTAATTTCATGATATTTTGAAGGTGAAAAGTAGATCACAATAAAATGTTCTGAACATGTAAATTTCCTCCAAACAACAGCCTCTCTTCCTTTTATATGCTACAGCATATATATATATATATATATACATATACATAAATAAACAAATAACTTACAAACTATTGGTTACATTAATTGTTTATAGGCGATTAAATCAGCTATAAAATAATAATGAATTAGATACTGTATTACCGTTATCGGTCCAGGTTGTCAACTTATTGTCATAACGGATAATGTCTGTGGTAATAGCACCCAAATGCGTTGGAGATATCCCATCTATCAGACAAAATCCAAACGCTGATATTAATCTAGTCAGCCGTCATGGAAAATCAAATAAGTGAACTAAAGTCAAATAAGGGTACGAAGCTGACTGCTTACACCCACAATGTCTCAGCTTCTATACTGCCTTTCACTGGCTATAGCCAGTTGTGGGAAGGCAGTTACCCTTAATTCTGTTGAAGTAGAAATGAAACCACCCTAACATACATATGACTTTACTACATTGTATACTAAAATAGACCTAAAAGATTTGACCAGGGTTTTCAATGATTTGTTTGATAACTTTATAAATAATGAAATAACTGTACCCAAATATAAATTTACTAGAATTCAATGTAAAAATATACTCCATTTCTGTATTTATAACAGTTATATTGTTTTTAACGAACAAGTATATAAGGAAATGGTGGGTATTCCAATGGGAACGAACTTCTCTTCAAATATGGCCAACCTGTATCTGTTCTTTTATGAAACTCATTTATGAAGCAGACTTTAACTCCTAACTTATACATTTACACTTTCCGTTACATAGATGATATAATATCTATAAATAATATGAATTTTACATCAAACCTAATATATCCAATAGAACCTACAATAGAAAGAAGTAATAATAATAATGAGGTCCATGCTAATTATTTAGATTTGGACATTACTTTTATAGGAGGTACAGTGTAGTTGACTGTTTTTGATAAAAGAAGGTAATTTAATTATCCTATCCTTGGTCTACCCACATCTAATAGTGTTATTCCGTGTATCATGGTAATTTAATTTTCTTATCCTTGGTCTACCCACACCTAATAGTGTTATTCCGTGTATCATGGTAATTTAATTTTCTTATCCTTGGTCTACCCACACCTAATAGTGTTATTCCGTGTATCATGTTAAAATATATTATTACATCTCAACTAAAAAGGTTTTAAATAGTCTGTAATAACTATAATTTTTTTCATGGATAATGTTCTATAAAGATAACGGCTATAAAGACAGGTAATTAAAGATATACCTTACACTATTTTTTAATAAATACAAATGTATTTTAGAAGCTAAACTATCGATTAAGGAAAATACCTTATAAAAATAAAGAAGGCGTTAGTAAGGCTTGTTTGTTTTTAGTTAGGCACAAAGCTACACAAAAGGCTATCTGTGCTCTGTCAATCACGGGTATCGAAACCCGGTTTCTAGCGTTGTAAATCTGCAGACATACCGCTGTGCTACTGAAGAGCTTATAAAAAGTTAATAAAAATCTTTTAAATAATCGTATTCAGTATAACCGGGAAGGAAAGACTAACTTCAAGTAGCTGGGCTTGTCTCGGCATTCCGCGTTATACTCAATAAATCTTTAAAAGAAAGGGTGGAACTTTTAACGTAGGGATTATAGTTCTATTTAATATCTTATAGTTCTGTTTAATATCATATAGTTTTATTTGATATTTAATAGTTCTATTTAATATCTTATAGTTCTGTTTAATATCATATAGTTTTATTTGATATTTAATAGTTCTATTTAATATCTTATAGTTCTGTTTAATATCATATAGTTTTATTTGATATTTAGTAGTTCTATTTAATATTTTATAGTTCTGTTTAGTTCTATTTAATATATTTTTGTAAGGGTGGAGGTTGGGAATTTAATTAGTAGAAATGTTAGGGTGGTTTCATTTCTACTTCAAGAAATTTAAGGGTAACTGTCTTCTCACAACTGGCTATAGCCAGTGAAAGGCAGTATAGAAGCTGAGACATTGTGGGTGTAAGCAGTCAGCTTCGTACCCTTATTTGACTTTAGTTCATTTATTTGATATTCCATGACGGTTGACTAGATTAATATCAACGTTTGTATTTTGTCTGATAGATGTGATATCTCCAACGCATTCAGGTATTATTGCCACAGACGTTATTTGCTATGACAATAAGTTGACAACCTGGACCGATAACGTTAATGCGAGATATATATATATATACTTAACTAGTAATTTCTTCTTTTTAAAGAACGTTAAATTCTGTTGTTTTGTTGTATTATCCGTGCCTGACTTTTGAAGCTCTCTTTGTACAGATCTTATGTGTTATTCTTCCATTCGAGAAGCAAATAATTAAAAAGTATTCTTTCTTACATTATCATCATACCATTTCAAAGTTTATTACGAGACATGCGCACAGACTAGCTTTTGAAAACCATTAAACTCTCTGTAGCCTGCACTCTATAAATGATTAAAAATGTCATTGGTTCGATAAATGTTAAACTTTACTAGATATATTGTAAAAACAAACAAACTATATTTGTAGAAACTCACTTGTATAATATGGAAGGCAGCATTTATTCTTTGATTCTGATGAGTTGCGGAATTTCATTTAACGAAAATATTACTAATTTGACAAGTTTTTAAAACATCTGTACTAATAGCCTAATTGCTATTATTGCTTATATAATATAATAAGAAACTACTATAATAACATTATCATACAGAAGCTCTAAACGTTAGAATATGATTACTTCTGTTCTATTCTTTTATTCTAATATTTTTTCATCCCTCTGCTATATATATATATATTGTGATGTCCTGTCTTCTGGATTCGATGAGGATCTGGAACTGGTATCAACCTTCGATGTTTTCCAGTTATATCCAGATTGTTTCGAATAACTGGTGTAATAAATGTCGTATCTTTCCTAAATCCTAATTAACGAAATACCTGAAAAATCTTACTTCCCATCGAAGCTTTACAAAACGTCAGTGGAAAAAAACCCGCAATTAATGGAGCAAACTGTTAGAAAACTTGATATTATAAGAAGACAACGTGAGAAAGAAAAGGACACACTAGTTTCTCCTAATTTCATTCTGATAGCTTCTTCCATCGACTGTGGTTTTTCCACTTACTTTATAAACTGTATAAACAGCTCCAGGTCGTGACAAGATCTAAGGTCGGGGTGGTGATAACTTTCATGTTACACTTCAGAAACGTTATACGTTCCATAGTATAAGTTGTACGTTACGATTTGAAAAACGCTAAAAAGTCTCATGATAAATTATTTGCTACAATTCAGAAAACATTATGGGACTCATTGTCACTTGCATATTTTGCCTTCGCTGTGCTGCTTTATATATATATATATTTATTTATTAGAGTACTTCATAAATATCGGTCTTTACAAAATTGAAAATATATTATACGCTAACATTTTATTGAAAATATATTATACGCTAACATTTTACTAAAAGAGCTTTATCACGTGACCCAGTGCAAAGCGTGTACTAGCCAACTTTATCATTTTGGTTACAAATATTGAGTGTATTATTGGGACTTCTATCTGTAAAATTTTGTTTTCTTTGTAAGGTCATCAGTTTCTCTTTGATAGCCTTCAAGCAAAATATTTTTTCTTTTTATATAGACTTTTCAGCAATTTTAAACATCTGATTTTTCAAAGCATGTGTTGTTATCTGTGAATAATGATTAACTTTTCCATCCACCGTCGTAATTAGTGTAGTGGGTAGAAACCTTCCACCAAATGACATTTTTGACGTTTGAAGTACCGTTATTTTGGGTGAAGTTGAATATTACTCGTCAAATCCTAATTATAACATGGCGGTATCAGGTTTTGCGAGTGAATGCGAAAACCAAGCTTTCGTCTGCAATTTTGCTTTTCGCACGTGTGCAGAAAATCTGACGTCAGAGGCGCAGCCGCACTATAGCGTTGCGGGCACGTGCTACAACTCACCGCGCCCTTTAACTCAAAAGCTCACGCACTGTCGACGGATGCGGTAGAAGTTCGTGTTTCTTCTAGGCTTTGCGACTAATCGTCATGTGCAGCTCGAGATTTTATGAAAGTTCAATGTTTTTGTCAGTGATATCATCTTAGTCACGTGCTCAAAACGTTTCTACTACTAACTCGTGATCATCATGTTGACAGTTCCTGTGGGACAGTGTCAAAATCAACTCTCGTTTGTTACTGGAAACTAAATTTGGAAGCAGGTTAGTTTCATATTTATTAGCGTATAAGTTAATAAAAACTCACCAACGTTACGTGGACAACGATGGTAAGTTTTTAGCCAATTTATTTACATAGTGGAATCTATTTCTAAAAGCAAAAGTTAATTTTTAGTTAGAAGATTGTATAATTTCATCACCTCACCCAAGTTTTGATCATTAAACTCTTTTTATTTTATTCTATAAACGACAGAAGTCTATGTTTATTAAATAAGCATGAACGTTTTACTCTTTATTCTTCAGATCATTTCGACTAGACCATGAAAAAACACAAAATTAAACGCCCGGTTTTCTAGTTATGTATATAACTTAAGTATTGAAAGAAATGATATTATACATTATTTTGTGGTCATGTTTATGACTGGATCAACAATTGTAAAAGTGTAATACCTTAAATGCTCGTTAGGCATGTTTCTAGTTGAATCTATGATTTAAAAAAAAGCAATGATGAAAACGCTGGTTCTGCACATTTTTAGCTGAACCTTGAGCTATAAGATAAAATGAGTAAACGTATTTGTGCGTGTTTCTAATTGGATTCAGGCTTTTATAAAAGTATGAATAAAATGTTACCTTTGCATTCTTCGCTTTGGCAGGAAGAAAATATGTTGATATGGCGTTACTCGTGCATTGTGGTATGTGATCCTTATACTCAGTTTTACCACAGGGATTCTGATACTCAGAACTTATCACTTTCCTTAACAGTTAAAAAAACAACAAACTTTGAAGTCACTACTCGTAGTTTAAGTTTTCAATTTTATCAGAAATATTTTAAATTAAATGAAAACTATTACATTTCTGTAACTTAATGCCCTTGTATTTAAGAATTGCTTCTTGTAAGAGTAGTTATAACAGACATACTTCCGATTTCATGACACAAGAACCTTATGAAAGCAAAGGGCGGTATGAAAATTTTGAAACGACACGTTAATTTTAAAATTTAATGCTCTCTTCAAAATAATCTAGACGTGAGTGTATGGCTCCTGACTTGTGCGTGTTATATAGCTCATTTATTTATGATTTGATGGCAGCGCTATAATAGCTTTGCTCTAATGCTTAGGTCATTTGGTTGACCATCAGCCATTTTAATTCCTTCAAAGCAGGATCATGGTGCCTTGTGTCGGTACAAGTGAAAAGAGCATTTACTAAATTATGAGCTGCAGTCTGTTAAGTAGTTCCATAAAAGTGATTAAAAGACACTGCTGCAGCAGGCAGAAGTGATGAGGCTTTAATCTAGCGATCCATTAATTTTATTATACTGATGTAGAACGTAATCTTATTACAAAAATGACAGCTGAACAGACAATATTCTGGCTCACTGTCATTATTTTAGTTTGTAGATCACATCTCCTCTCTTACACTCAAGTGAGAACTTCAATGGCCAAAAATTAAGAGTAATGCCCAATTTCTGCGATGTATGTATGACCTGTGAAGCTAGTTCTATGTTGGAAAACAAATATAAATGTTCATGTTTCAACACACTGCATATAATAATCTACCAAATGTGCTAGTCCTCCGAGTTTGAGTTAATCAGTGCTACTGATACTTTAAGTAACACTGAGGTTTGGCCACATGTATCGATCCTAAACAGCGTCAGTGCTAATGATGGAGAAAGGATGCGACAAAATCTGACTTCAGTTAGAGATGTTTGAAAGTTTACAAATAGATGAAAAACATCCCACAGAATAACCTTCTTTACTACCTTGCTGAGTCTTCAGAGATTTCTACTCACTTGAGTTCCTGAAGCTCATCAGTAAAAGGGACGGGGGAGGGGTACATGTTGAAGCTTTTTACCAACCATTCTTGAGATTCCAAACTAAGAAAAATTTGAGATTGTTTTGTTTTCATCTTCACTCTATACATCATCGCAAGAGATGGTTTTAAATAAAACCAGGGATTATTTTGATCAGAGCTGTTATGTCAACACAAATAGGGATGATTCTGATAACACCAGATATGTTACCTTAGCACAAATAGATCATTTTGATAACACCAGAGATGGTTATTTTAACATAGCCAGAAAAGGTTTTGATAACATGAGTTGTTTTTGAGCATCAGAGGTTGTTTTCATAATAAAAACAGAAACACCAGATTTCTAAAAATAATGCAAGTCATTTTAACATTAGAGATGGGTTTTTGAAGTAAATGGAAATAGATAGCGAACCAGTACCAGAAATGGTTCTATTAGCCAAAAATGGAGCTAGTTCTGATGCTAATACAATACGAATAGCTCAAAATATTTTAGTAGTATCATGTAGGCCACTCATATATAAAAATAGGTTCATCCTTATCAAAAACTGTGGACCACATTTAAAAGTAAGGATGATTAGAATAGATTTAAGAGATCGGTACAACGAAGGTTTTGACGTTCTTAAGACTTTTTGAAACGTCGAAATATGTACAAAAAACAAAATTTCACTTGCAATGCAATATAAAGCTTTGTTGCCTTAGCAATATAGTAAAGGAAAAATGTGGGAGGGTGGGTGTTATTCTCTTTATTCTCTATAAATTGTTAATATATAAAAGCTTGGATACTTCGGGCTAAATCAATAAAACATTTAAAGTAATATATCAGAAAATTTATAGAAATGAGTGGGTAAATAATAGTTATGCATATAAGTTGATGTTCAGTACGAAATACTAACGTTTTGTTGGTTGTTGGCACTAAGCTCTTTTTTTTTTCTGACTTTGCCATTTATGTAGGGTTATCATCCACATTTAGAAAACGGATTTTATTAAGTTTATGGATATATTTTATTCAATTTGGCTTTACCATGTAGCAAAAGGTTTTTAAAAACGGAAAAAGTTGAAATTTGGGACCATATTCTTCCTGGTTTCTTAGTATCAAAGCAGATATCTCTTCCGAACCCCACTTTTCTGGTAATCTGAGGCCTTCATTTCTTTGAGATTTGTGTTTATTTCTTAGACTTCCGTAAAATTTGGATGCAAATGATTTCAGGCTTGATCTAGATGTTAGAGTTAGGGATGGTCGGCGTAATTCATGATGTAAGACACATATTATTTATACTGAATATTACTTTATTGATGATCAAATAGTCTACCAAGGATTCGTGATAATTCACAGTGAATAATAATAATACACGTTCCAGATGATGGGGTCGTCATTCACATTGGTTTTGGAATGTCGAACTAGTAAGTTTACTATATACTTACAGTTACCATTGCTGTTCCCACAATGCAGGGGTACAAACCAATTGTAAGTGTTTGGCTTCGAAGATTAGCATAAACTGAGTGTTTGAATTATAGTGCCAATATATTTTATAAATAATGGTACTGTGAAAGAAATGAAACAAAAAATGCTGAAAATCCAGTATATATAAATGTAATTGTTTATATATATTATTCATGTTTGTCCAGTTGATTGTTTCCTGTCATTGCTATTACTAAAAGACGAAAAAGAACAGAAGGTCAGCAAATGACGTAAGGTATTTTTGCTCGTATATTCTGGCATACAACTTGACGTAATCTATGGAAAATCCATATTTCTGCAGCTTACTTATCAGCTGTAATTTTGATATCACTGTTGTTGTTCTTGCAAAATGCTAATCAATGGGTTAGCTACCCACTGTTCATCGTAGGGAACTGAACCTCAGATTTTAGCATTGTAAATTCGAAAACTTACCGCTGACCCACCAGGGATGGCGAACAAATTTTGAAGATGTCTTTAATAAATAACACTCGTGTGTAAGGCTTTTTTTAATGAATAGCACTCGTGTGTAAGGCTTTCTTTAATGAATAATACTCGTGTGTGAGGCTTTCTTTAATGAATAACACTCGTGTGTAAGGTTATCTTTAGTGAATAACACTCGTGTGTAAGGCTTTCTTTAATGAATAACACTCGTGTGTGAGGCTTTCTTTAATGAATAACACTCGTGTGTAAGGTTTTCTTTAATAAATAACACTCGTGTGTAAGGCTTTCTTTAGTGAATAACACTCGTGTATAAGACTTTCTTTAATGAATAACACTCGTGTGTAAGGCGTTTTTTAATGAAAAGCACTCGTGTGTAAGGCTTTCTTTAATGAATAACACTCGTGTGTGAGGCTTTCTTTAATGAATAACACTCTAGTGTAAGGCTTTCTTTAATGAATAACACTCTAGTGTAAGGCTTTCTTTAATGAATAACACTCGTGTGTAAGGTTTTCTTTAATAAATAATTAATAAAGTCTAATATTGTTTTTAGTTTTAGCTTTGACTCTTTAGAACATATGGTTGAAAAAGGAACTGACTCGAAATCTTGGTAAAATAATGTCCTTATGAAATACGAACAACTTATATAATAAAAACATTGGCAACCAATAAATAGTATATATATATATATACTGAATAAAATCAAACGTGGTAGTTTTCGAAAAGCTGCAGTTTCGTTAATATTGCAAAGTAAAAATTAGAGAATAAAAATATTGCCAATATATATATATATATTATTTTTTTTTCAAATTGAATAAAATAACATGGTAGTTTTTAATAGTTGCAGTTCCATTAATATTGTATGAGAGACAGTTCAGGAAAAATGTATTACAAACACCCGTCTTGAATTAGTTCTAATCTCTTACTCCCCGTGGTGTGGAGCAAGACATCATCAGTCCAAAAGTACAACCATCTGCTGTTCAGTTCAACAAGGCAAGGGAATATCACGTGACAAAAGGGTACATGACGTCAGACGCGGTACTTAGTTGGAATCAACTGTCTGATAAATGACGACAGTTGTCTTTAAGTCTGTTTATTGTACAGAAGGCAAGTTTTTGTTTGGGAAGTTCTTAGATTTCAGTGAACCATGGCTGCCTTCTAAATGTGGTCGAACGATTGAAGGATACGTTATCCATGTCTTTAGCTTCATGCTTAATTTTCCAGCTGCTCTTAAGTATCATACCTTCTGGAAGAATGAGCGATCTAACTGAGGGTGAGGGGAATGCGTAGACTGACAAACAGTATTTGTTGAGCTGCACTGTCTTGATGTTTCTGCCGT